TGTATCATTGTGTTCACAATAGAATTCCCTACAGGGGTATATGCATATAAGGTCCAAAAGCCCGCCGTGACTCCCACAGCAAAGTCTAAAGTCGGCAAAGTTACCTGTGAGCGCGCAAAATCAGTAAAATGTGTATACTCGTTTCAGTTTTCTCACCATATTTCTCGTGCTACGTCATTCAATTTAGTATCATTGTGTTCGCAATAGAATTCTCTACAGAGTTATATGCATATAAGGTCTAAAAGCCTGGCGTGACTCCCCACAGCAAAACCTAAAGCCAAGTTACCCGTGAACGAGCACAAATTGGCACACCTACAGACTGATGTATATACTGTACAGTACTCATTCAGTTTGATAACAAATTTTCATGTTACGTGTTTCATTTTGGTATCAAATTGTTCGCAAAATAAAGGCACGTATTTTAAAACTAGTCCCATAATAATAGAACAATAAATGGAATTTTAACAAATATTTTAACTTTTGGATGCTCATCACCACAAAATTATTTATATATTTCCAGTGTTCTGACACCAATTTTCGTGTTACGTCTTTCATTTTGGTATCAAATTGTTCGCAATATAAGCACGCATATTTTAAAACTAATCCCATAGTAATAGAACAATAAATGGAATTTTAGCAAATACTTTCAAATTTGGACCACAAAAGTATTTATTATTTTTCCAGTTTTCTGACACCGACACTGGATAAATTTTCGCGTCACGTCTTTCATTTTGGTATCAAATTGTTTGCAATATAAAGGCGCGTATTTTAAAGCAAGTCCCATAATAATAGAACAATAAATGGAATTTTAACAAAAATTTTAACTTTTGGACGCTCATCACCACAAAATTATTTATATCTTTCCAGTGATCTGACATCAATTTTTGTGTTACGTCTTTCATTTTGGCATCAAATTGTGAGCAATCTAAAGGCGCTCATTTTGAAACCACTCCCAGATTGATCAGATAAAATTTAAATTTTGAACAAATATTTTAATGACTCCAGACCTCGTCACCCGAGACGACTCGAGAGAAAAATGAGTGACGACAGGCGTAGGCAACAGAGTGTGGCAGTGTTAAAAAGAATCTGCAAAAAAATGAAGCTGAAAACCACACTTAAATATTTCCAGGAATAGTATAACACATGTACAGTACAGTACTGTATTATATTAGGCCTTAGCATGTACTCTATTAGGCTTAGAATGGTTAGGTTTTGTAAGGTTTTATTGGAAATATACTGTAAATGCAAAACCTTTTCCTGTTTGTAAAAATTCAATAGTACAGTATCAAATTCTGCCTTCTAATTGTCATTCCATCAATACTGTATAGTATATGAATGATGGCCTACATCATTATTATAAGTACTGTACCATTTAAACAGGAGGATGGGCTGGATTATTATACTCGCCAGAAATGCTTAGGGGTTCATTATCGGTCCACAAAATGTAGATACAGTACTGTACACTAATTACATAAATAATGAAGTTTCCATGATAGGCTAAAATAGCAGAAAAAACATCGTGCGTACTATAAACATTGTAGGTATGACTTGATACCTACCTAATATCTATATAGGTATCTTTTTTTTTTTTTTTTTTGAGATATATACAAGAGTTGTTACATTCTTGTACAGCCACTAGTACGCGTAGCGTTTCGGGCAGGTCCCTGGAATACGATCCCTGCCGCGAAGAATTGTTTTTTCATCCAAGTACACATTTTACTGTTGCGTTAAACAGAGGCTACAGTTAAGGAATTGCGCCCAGTAAATCCTCCCCGGCCAGGATACGAACCCATGACATAGCGCTCGCGGAACGCCAGGCGAGTGTCTTACCACTACACCACGGAGACTGTTTTTGTTTTCCTAAGAATACAATAATCGTGTCGCTAATAAATTTTTAAACCGTGTCACTCCATTTTTTTTTGTATAGTGATGTTCCACACATTTTACTATATAAATTTATCAAATTACACAGTAATGAATATTATTGCCAAAAACAGAGAAAAACAGAGATATTGAAATAATTAAATAAAACTATCTTTGTGGCAACTCTCACCATGACTGCTGTGGGCAAGTGTTCTGTGAATGCATGAATATTACCAGATTCCTCTCACCATCATGGCCAAAGTACGTTGCATTTTTCCCCATGATCAAGTAATGCATTTTATCAATATTAGAAGGAAAAAATGTAAATAAAAACTTTTTACTGCACACAGTGTTATTAAGGAATAACAGCTACGCAGCTCGAGGGTTAAAAAGAGTTGCCATTCATATCCAAATTTTTCCCATCTATGGGAGAATTTCACTGAGCAAAAATTTTATTTCAGACTATCATGGAAAACTACTGTACTAGGAAAACCAGATTTCACCCAAATTACCAGTACAGTATCTCTCAGAATCCATCCTTTTGTTAAATCATAAGGTTACTACACCAAAATGATGTAAATGAAGCAAACCCATCGACATTCTCACACCCCAATAGTCTAAATCATGTTATTTTGGCATTAACACTGATTTAAACTCTGACCTCCACTGATAAAAAGCATTTTATAAAATCAGCAGGAAAACAAAACACGATCAGGAAAAATCTATTACCTACTGATCCAGATTTCAGTGCCCCCCCCCCTCCCCTGTAGAATCCCAGTTATTTTATGAAAAATTACAAAATTTAGAAATCTGGTTCTGGATTGTTTGTTCAATTAAATATAGGAACCCCATTATAAGGTAGTGTTGACCAGACCACACATTAGAAAGTGAAGGGACAACGACGTTTCGGTCCGTCCTGGACCATTCTTAAGTCGATAGCCATTCATCGACTTGAGAATGGTCCAGGACGGACAGAAACATCATCGTCCCCTCACTTTCTAATGTGTGATCTGATCAACATGCTTCAGCCACTTTATTGTGACTCATCGCCTATATAAGGTAAGTCAGAATTCTGGAGATACCAATATCTTGGATTTGTTACCCAAAACACTATGTGTATTAGTGGCTTTACAAGAATGTAAAAACATCAATGCTATGTACTCTCATAAACCCAATGTACCTTCTTGTATATATATAAATAAAATAAATATTGCATAAACCATGCAAAATTGCACAATCCCACACTGGCAGTGTGAAACCAAATTGTCCCACACTGGCAGCTTGCTAAATTGCATCTTCCTACACTACCATCTGCTAAACTACATTTGTCACACACTGGCAGCATGCTAAACCACTTTGTCCCACACTGGCAGCGTATGAAACCACTTCATCCGACACTGGCAGCATGTGAAACCACTTCGTTCCACACTGGTAGTGTGGTGAACTCTGCCATACCACACTAGGAAAGTGCAAAACTGCAATGTCCCACTCTAGCAGTGTGTAACACTGAAAGCAGGCCATACCATGTCATACCACACTGGATGTGGGCAACACTGACAGCAGGCCACAATAGCAAGACATACCATGTTGTCCCACACTGACAGTGGGCCTAGTCTCAGGCTGGGCTCAGGGAGTAGAACAACTCGCAAAGCCCTCTCCAGGTATGCTTCAGGTCACGTGTCACCAACACTGGCAGCATGCACCGTGTCACTCCACACTAGCAGCAGGCCACAACATGCCTTCCCTGAGGACAGGTTGGTCATCCAGTACTGGCAGTGGGCAACACCATGTCATGCCACACTGGCAAAGGGCCACGCCACACCACACCGTCCCATACTGACAGAGGGCCATAATGCCATCACTCACTGGCAGACTATCAAATTGTGTCATACCACACTGCTAGCAGGCCACAACATACCATCCCAAATGTAGTAGGCCCAAACTATAATTACCTAAGTGTCAACTTAGGTCAACTAAGTCAACCTACACTGTCAAGGGCCATACTGTCACCCCAACACTGGCAGCAGCCACACCAAGTCACCCCACACTGGCAGCAGGCCACATCATGTCACCCCACACTTGTAGTGGACCACACCATGTCATCCCACCCTGGTAGCAGGAAACACTGTCATCCTAAACTGGCTGAGGGCCACAACATGGCATCCCACACTGGCAGTGGGCCATACCATGTCATCCCACACTGGCAGTGGGCCATACCATGTCATCCCACACTGGCAGTGGGCCACACCATGTCATCCCACACTGGCAGTGGGCCACACCATGTCATCCCACACTGGCAGTGGGCCACACCATGTCATCCCACACTGGCAGTGGGCCATACAATGTTATTCCACAATGGCAGTGGGCCACACCATGGCATCCCACACTGGCAGTGGGCCACACCATGTCATCTTACACTGGCAGTGGGCCATACCATGTCATTCCACATTGGTAGCGGGCCACAATGAGAGCCCAGGGTAGACTCAGGAATCTGTACACCAGTTGATTAACAGTTGAGAGGCGGGACCAAAGAGCTAAAGCTCAGCCCACGCAAGCACAATTAGGCGAGTACAATTAGATGAGTGCAGTGTCAGCGCACACCCTGACAGTAGCCACACCATGTCGTCCAACACTTGCAGCAGGCCACACTGTCACTCCACTCTGGCAGAGGGACACACCGTGGCATCCCACATATAGCAGCGGGCCATAACAGTGTCATTCCACACTGGTAGCGGGCCATAACAGTGTCATTCCACACTGGTAGCGGGTCACACCGAGTAATCCCACACTGGTAGCGGATCACACCATGTCATTCCACACTGGTAGCGGGCCACACCGTGTAATCGCCACACTGGCACCGGGCCACACCATGTCACCCAGACACAGCCACACCGTTTTCTAACATCAGCTGATTTCCACCTAAACACAATTGCGCACACCGCCCATGGCGCCCAACACGCCCACACCCTCAGGCAGGCAGACGGGGCTGCCAGCGATGCTCACTCCTACACCGGTCCTGTCAAAAACAACCAAAGGCCAAGGCCGCTCCAGGGTGCAACAAACTCTTGCCACTTCCTTTGCCAATTTCGTTTCGTCAGAAACTTTCCCAATACGATTGGAAAGTTTTCGCCGCTTACCGCTCGTTCTAGATCCTTTTTCTGTCAAGCATTCCCTTTCAGTGCATTTAAGATCCCGTTCATGCACTGTTACACATCCATCTTTGTTATATGTTCTGTATTTTTCACAAAATTCTGTTTCATTCACTCTGGAAAGTGATTCTGCAGAACCATCATGGCTGACTACAGGGTGTAGCAGAGCTGCCAACTTCGTGGGAATTTTAGGGGCTCAACTTAAAGGGACTCGGTGTCATGGCATGGCAAGAAATAAAAAGTATCGTACTCAATGACAATTTCCATTATTCACATTCATTATACGAGGAAAGACTGACATAAACTCATCAGGAAATGAACCACTCTTATGGCATTCACCTGTTTACGGAGTATCACCTGTCTGCAGGTGCATTTGCAGAATAAGTGACTCAAACCCATAAGACCAGTAGCACCTAATTAATTTGTGAGCGTTTATCTATAAGTTGAGTGAGGTTTCTATACCACACTTAGACAATCATGACGTTTTCTTGTGTAAATTGCAAGTGTAGTGAGGGTTGGCCAGCCTGGGCGGGAGGCGGCCGCAGCACGCAGTATTCCGCCGCCAACACTCCCTGGTTTAAACCCCTGTTTCATCACGGCTTTCCTTTTCTCTCACTCGTATACACCGTATTCAATAGATAAATTGAATCTAAATTTGAATAAATAACCCATGTTGATACAAGAAATTGCAAATTATCTCTAACTTAAGGTAAATATTAACGTAAGGTAGATGACCGCACTACTTGCTTAGGCGGACAAATATTGGATCCCTTACAAATAAACGGGACATGAAACAATGGTGTCTATAAAAAAGAACCTGAAAGATTAAATGGACCATTGATTGCGCAAAATGTAACCTCGGAAATAAGGTGGCATCCTAGCACAAATTAGAAGGCCTCAAATTCTCAACTAAGACATACAGGAGGTTATGTAATAACCAACATAGCGCATCTTTGACATTTAGTACTGTTAAACTTCAGTGTGACGGAGGGATTGTATATGGCTCCCTAGCCTCTTAGGCCTATCTATATGTAATATGGTTTATATACGTTTTGGAGAGTTTTTAAACTAATTATTATTTTAATTGGCCAGTGCGTATGTTTCAAGAATTATAAAAAAGTTGTATGAAATCAGTAGTTCTTATAAGTTTTAGTTTAGTATATTTATTATGCACCCTATACCCATCCTGTGGGCGGAAGTGGAAAGAGTTACAGAGGCACACAATGGGCTCAGGGACTGAACCCCAAAGCTATAATAAAATATGTAATAGAGTGAGGTATTGATTTATTAGAGAGACCGTTTAATTGTTTCACCAGCAATCATATATAGGCCTATTTATTAAAAAGAAAATAACGAGAAAAATAAAAAAGATTCGTAAAAATATTTTTCCATTTATTATATAAATGAAGATTTATATACATACTATATTCATTTGCATACTAAAATGCACGTAAGTTAACGGTAACAATAGTTTTTGTCAGGAAGTTAGTGTGGAAAGTCAACGAGCAACCAAATATCCTGTTTTGCTATTCTCGTTTGTGTTCCGGCAACGAGGATTGGAGTCCTTTGTCTGATGTGGCTCGACTCCCCACTCACTATTTTAGTCCCTTATTCGAGTAAATAATTAATTCTGGTTGTGCCTTCCTCTGCCCCACTGCTTGCATTTGGACTCCAGGAAAATTGACTATCAACCTTTCTACCAACCAACCAACTACAGTTGGTAGTCTGTAACACTGACTACCAACCTTCCTAACCTATATGAGGCTCCAGTAATACCGATCTCCAGCCTTTTCACACTGCATGAGGCTCTAGTAGCACTTATTACAACCTTCCTCTGCGTCCTACACTGCATATGGGTCTAGTAACACCCAACCTTCATGTGTGTGTACCACCATGCATGGGGCGCCTGTAATACTAGCCTCCAGCCTCCCTACACTGCACGGGGCTCCAATAACACTTGACTACACCCTTCCTATGCGTCCTATAATACTTGGAGGCTCCAGTAATACTAACAACCAACTTCCCTACCCTTCATAGTGCACTATGGTTGTACTGACTACCAACCTTCCTCTGCCAACAACGTACCCTGCATGCGGCTCTAATAATACTAACTATATATGTTTATATTTATTTATACAAGAGTTGTTACATTCTTGTACAGCCACTAGCACGCATAACGTTTCGGGCAGGTCCTTAATCCTAATTTTCCCTTGAATACGACCCGCCAAATTGTTTAACAACCATGCACCCATTCACTGCTGAGTGAACAGAGGCTACAGTTACTTAAGGATTGGCGGATACGAACCCAGGCCAAAGCGCTCGCGAAGCACCAAACTAATGTTTTACCACTACTCCAAGGGGACTCAACCTTCCTATCCTACATGAGTAATGCTGACTACTGACCTATAATGCATGAGGTTTTAGTAACACTGATAACCAACTTTCCTCTGTATCCTCCACTGCATTGGGGCTCTAGAGTAACACATACTATGACTTTCCTACCCTGCATGGGGCTTCAGTAATATAAGCTTCCTTTCTCCATCCCTCCCTCTCCCATTCCTCCCCATCTATCTCCCTTCATCCTTCTTTCCTTCCTTTATTCCGTACCTCTCTCCTTTTTCTTTCTTTCTTTCTTTCTTTCTTTCTTTCTTTCTTTCTTTCTTTCTTTCTTTCTTTCTTTCTTTCTTTCTTTCTTTCTTTCTTTCTTTCCTCCTTCCTTTATTCACTCGGTACAGTTATGATCAACCGTGCACGCGTAGTTTCGGTAGTAGCTGCTAAGAAATGTAATTAAATATAATTATCATACAAAGTGCGATATTTAATTAGGACATAGGGAGGATATTTGTCTCATTGTTCATTATTTAACTAGCAGATAATGGATGACGTTAATTCTTCCACCGTTCAATATAGGAAATTCTGATTATTGTTCACGCAACACGTTTTCGTCTTATTTTAGGCTTTTGTTACTTTTTCGAAAATGATTCCGAAATGTGGTTATTTTTCCTAACAATTATTTTTCCCGTAAAGTAAATGGAAAACAGCGTTTAGGTTTTTCTGATGTTTTGTTTCTTCTTTTTTTTTAACTTTAATTTTTGAAAATTTTTATTGTGAAATTTAGAAGTAGATATTTTATTAAACAGTTATTTCGTAGTAAATATTGGCTATCCTAAGATTATAAGTTTATCTTCACTAAGGAGAAGTGCTAGTGCTAGGAGAAGTTTATATGCTACACTTTGAATAACTGTATAAATATAAACATGTATACAGTGATTTGTTTTCATTTTTAATATAATTGTAGAAAATACATATTACATTCATTGCATTTCTTGATAGCTAATAGCTCGATTCTGCAGGCACAGATGCTAAATACAAATATTATCACACACAGACACATCGATGAAACTCCACCAGTCGACATTAATGTCTGCTAAGGGAACTGCATCATCTACATATATAAATGTTTATATTCTCAATTTATTCCTCTCACATACACTTGAGCCACACCTTTCCTTAACATTTATACTCCGACCTCACCATGAACTCTGGCATATTCCTACATTAATAATTTAAGAATGCACTCATTACACATCTATTACTTCCTACATAACAATTTTGCGAAACACAAAACCGTACCAACTTCCTGCAGAGAACACAGTTGGAAGCTGCAGATGCGCCGGGGGCATGTCAGCAAACACAGGGCAAGAGTTGCGAGCACGAGGAATGGTCTATAAGAAATGGTCAAGTAAGCTTGATGCAACTTCACATATGCGACGAGAAACAAAAAATAAAGTCATTGCATTAACTGACAAGAGGGTTTGAAGGGCAGGGCCAGGAAGACTATGCTCGACTGTGCAAGCAACATCTTGGTGTATATACACGACCCTTCTCGTCCCCCCTGGCCACCGCTGACAGCTGGAAAGGGTAAGACCCTCCTGCATTCTCCGCTCTACCTGGATACCACGGACCAGACAGCAAAAAAACATGTCGTGCAGCAACCCACATTAGGATCTCCCTTGTCCCATTGGTTCAGCAAATCGCGAGTAAATGCAATTCAGGGAGGACAGGTAAAGCTGGCTGGGACATCCACACTCGGTTAGAGCAACCAACCGCCGGGTAGCGCCTGCTCTGCACAAAGTTGCATCGCATCGTCCGATCCTTTCTATTTTTATAAATTAACTTATTATGGAACCAATACATCCTCTGAGTGATGGAGTAAAAGGGTTACAGTCACACAATAAGTTGAGTAACTTTGACCCAACATTCTTTTTTTATGAAATTTTATGCACTTTATGCTATGCAATTTTAATTTGTGAATTAGTTACATTTGTTCTAACTTATCTATCACATCCCACACACATGCAGTAGGTAGCTGTGGAGTCACCTAATGAACAAGTTTATAGGAGGCAAACTTGGGATATTTAGCCAAGATTTGGGTACAATATAGTTTGTTATTAAATATTTAGGAATTTCTTGAGCATTAGTTATATTATATTAGTTATTACTATTAATTCTTCTAATATTTTCACATTATATTACATAGATTAGGCTAGATTAGAGGGACTTATTCGCAACAACTTACACAAGTCGATACAATTCTGGCTAGATTGAACATGTGTACAGCAGTGTACCTTAAACTTACTTTAGACAAATTAAAAAAAAAAAACATTTAGCCTACAATTTATAGGTGGTGATTGAGTGTGCTAATAGCATTTATGACACAATTTAGATTTGGTTAAATACCTTCACAGGTAATGCAAACTCTAGAGATGCAGTCAAGCTTAAGCGGAGCAGAAGTAACATTTACCTGAATTTACCCGAGGACCATTATCTTTCTAGTGTCTTCGGCGAGGACAGGAAGCCGACGGCTTGTTAAGGGTCCCTCCATTTTTCCTGATGATTTTATCAGTTCCAAGGATTTATAATCGTATGGTTGAAAAGCATCCCCTGTTTTCTGTCCTGCACTGTGGCAATAGGAGTCTGCTGATTTCATTAGATGTCTTCTTCATTTCTGAGGTTACACCTCAGTGTAACCCGCTTCTCGGTGCATATACACAAAGTTTACTGTAGTTATGGACCATGTTCAGGACTAAAATATACCTGCTAGTTGGTCAGTAAGCTGTTGTTGTTGTTACCTTTATAACCTTCCATAAGTTGATAGGCGTTG